AGGCTCTCTGCTCTCCTTGGCAACCCTATGGGGCAGCTCTTCTCTGCCCTACAGTTACATTGAGTCGGAATCGTCCTGACATCAGTGGGGTTGATATCTTTGGTGGGTGGAGGGGATGTTACCTCTGTTCTGCAGTAGAAACTGAGGGTGACTGGGCCAGGATGGTGGAGTTCAAATGCCAGCCTTCTGAATCGGCCCTCCTTCCAGGGTGCTCCAGCCTGAGTGGGATGAGGGTCATGACCCTAGCAACTGAAGCGGGGCCTACACCACCATCCAGTTGCACCTTTGACCTGCCAGGCTTGTCTAGGGGTGGTCTGGCTGGTTGCGGTCTGGAGAAGGCAGAAGGAATGGGATCTAAGCTAATATCTGGAGAGCTGGTTCCAGGGTTCGGGTGGGGGAGGGGGTTGCAACTTCATGCTTGGTGTTTCAGTTCTTTCTTTCCCTTGTAGGTGCCTGTTAAAGGCCGAGGCCTCTCCTCCCGCATCCCTCCTCGGTTTGCCAAAAAACAAAACAACCTGTGCCTGGAGCAAGGTGATATAACTGTGCCTGGCAACAGCCTGGGCACCGAGATATGGGAGAACAGCAGCCAAGGTAAGCAGCCAGGAGTTTGGGTTCAGCACCTTGGCCCGACTGACCAAGGTGGCCAAGGTGGCCGTAAGCTGCGTCTCAGGAAGCATCCTGTCTTTGGCACCATGGATTTGGTGACCTGGTTTTCTCTGCTGGGTCAGCGTCAGGTGCCATCTGAGATGATTTCCTCTTGCATCCGTGCAGTAAGCCCCAGTGACTGAGGGACGGTCCCTGGAGCATTGGCATAGCCATTCCAAACTCCCTCCCCTGTTGATTACCTTTTCTTCTTGGGAAAGAGCATTGCCTCTTGCGGGAGCGTGGAAAAGGGGAAGGGACTCAGTGGAGTCGTGGAAAGGTGCCTGAGGCAGCCAGGAAGCCGCCTTGGTGGCCTTACTAGTTTGGATAGGTTTCCAGTAATACTTCTTTTGCAACTATTTTTTAAATGGCCGTTTTCTGGTAACTTTATTTCAAAAAGCAGATGTTTCTTGGATTCCGATCTTGAGCACAGGGCTCTGCTCTGTGCCCAGGGGCACAGAGATGGCTAAAACAGGCGCTCTTGATAGCTGGTGGCCGGGAAGCACTGCGACCATCTTCCAGCATGCTTGCAGACAGAGGCTGAGACTTTCAGTGCAAAGTGACTTGACCCAGAACCTCTGGACACACACTCATTTCCTCGGCTGTGGGTCTTGATTCTTTTCGTGTCACTATCACACACTAACGAATCACACTAGAAAACCATCGACTGCAAAATAAGGGGAGCGGGATATTCATTCGATACAATTCGGATCAGTGAGTTTAGGTAGCACGCATGAGTGGCCGGGGTTGTGATAGCCCAAGTCTTAAGTGAAAGAAAGCATCCTCGGAGTAGAGGTGGTGAGGAAGAATGCTAGCCGCTCAGAACTAACGGATGGCTGGGGGTGGGCGAGAGCAGAGAGGAATTGAGGCACAGGATAGAAGCGCGCCACGTGTAAGCTGTCTTGCATGTGCTCCCGGGGAGGAAGGTGGGGTGGGGGAGATTGAGAATGTGGTGCCGGGGGGAGGGTGGGGGGTCTCAGGCAGTAGGGCCATGGTGTCTCTGAGCTGTTCCTGTGAGCATGTGTATGTCCAGAGCGGTTGCATTTTGATTCCCTTACTCTGTGTGTGTGTGTGTGTCTCTCCCCCCTACCCTCACCCCCTTGGCAGCCCTCCCCGTGCAGGCCCCAACCAGTGACTCCTGGAGTAAAGCTGTTACCGCCTTCAGCAGCGCCGAGGCTGGCCCCGCCGAGGTGAGTGTGGCTGGGGCGTGCATGTAGGCTGGCTGCGGAGTGTGTGCTCACTGTCCACCCTGGGCCTCCGCTCATCCCAGTGGTCCCCCCTTCTGTGGGAGGCGAGCCGGGACCTGAGGCCAGTTCCACAGGTTCTGGCTCGCCGCTGGCCCACCAGTCAGTCTTGGTTTTGAATCTTTGAGAGGGAGAGAAATGAGGGCAACCCAACCTGGGTGGGGAGAGGGATTGAATGCCTCTCCTGAACCAGGGGTGGCGGGCAGGAGTGCAGTAAGGCCGGCAGTCTCGGTGTAGGGACCGCCCAGGACCCTGTGGTTAGGAAGCTTGGGCAGGGCTGGTGATTTGGCTGTGTGCTCTGACATCATCAGGCACCTATCTATGGCAGGTCAGAGGTGACTTCAGGACCAGAGTCTGCCGGGGGCAGGTGGTTTGGGGGCGAGTCTGGGGGTCTGGGCTCTAACCCATCTTGTGCTTTGCACAGCAGGGTTTTAAGAGCAGCCAGGGAGATAGTGGCGTTGACTTGAGCGCCGAGTCTCGGGAGTCGTCCGCGACCTCCTCACAGCGCAGCTCCCCGTATGGTACTCTGAAGCCAGAGGAGATGAACGGGCCTGGCCTGGCGGAACCCAAGGCCGACAGCCACAAGGAGCAGGCTCAAAAGCAGTCTGAGCAAAAGGTAACCTGGACGCTGCGTCCACAGTGGCCGAGGCCTGGGCACCGATTCCTGGGGCCGTAGTTGCTAGAGCCGGGGGTGGTTCCCGTGCATGTTTCTCAGCCTCTCTACTTTTCCACCAAGGATTCAGAACCAGGCTCAGGACAGAGCAAGGAGCACAGACCAGGACCCATCGGCAATGAGCGGTCTCTGAAAAACAGAAAGGGCTCGGAGGGGGCCGAGCGGCTGCAAGGGGCCGTCGTCCCGCCTGTTAACGGGGTAGAGATTCACGTGGATTCCGTGCTGCCTGTGCCACCCATTGAATTCGGAGTCAATCCAAAAGTGAGGCTTCGATTTCCCTTCCCCACTCCCCACCCTTCCCCTCCTTCCCTGGCCCTTGGAGAAGAAGAGGGGTGGTAGAAAGAGCTGTGTCTTAGAAACAGCAGGGCCGAATTCCAGGGGAGATGGCAGTGGTGTAGCGTTCTGGATGGGTGGGTGGCAGGTGCTCTTGAATTACCCCGTCAATTTCCTCACCAACACAAGCCAGGCCCTCACCCGTGGGCGGGGAACCGGGAGAGCTCGTACAGAGGGGTGGTCTCCCAACTCCATCCTTCCCTTGTGCTGTCAGGAACATCTGGCCATCTCGTTCATGTATGGCTCTCGGTGAATGCTGGTTAGGGGTTTGAGTCACTGAGACTATGGGTGCAGTTAGGGTCTGCCTACCCGACATGAGCCAGCGTGACCTCAGTGGCTCTGCTCCCTTTCTTCCAGGACTCTGATTTCAGCCTGCCACCTGGTTCTGCCTCTGGGCCTGCAGGGAATCCCGTTGTCAAACTTCAGGATGCCCTGGCCAGTAACGTGAGTGTGCATGCCCTGATTCAGCTTCACAGACCCAACCCACTTCTCAGCTGAGTGTCTTAGAACAGGCAGCCGCCTGGGTTGGAATTGAGGTTTATTCGATAGCTAGCTAGCAGCCCTGGGACAAGCTGCATGCAGCTTCGTCACGTCCACGTTTGGGACCTGAGGTTATCGTTTGTACAGTCATATTGATTTGTCATTTGTTGATTTCACTGTGTTCTTTTGTGTCAGGAGCTGTACAGACTTGTTCTTTTTGATGGGGGTGGGGGAGACATAGATAGTCAGAAAGTACCTACAAAGGAGTCCATATATGTATTGCCCGAGGGTCCCCAGGGTCTGTCCAGCCCACCTCTGACCCTCTGCTGTGCCCTGAGTAGCATGGAGACATGTCAGTTGTGGGCCACTTGTGGCCACAGCCAATGTTCTATCCCAGTGACATTTCTGTTTAGGGCTTCATGTGAAATGGATGCTCAGTATTTACACTATTACTTGGGCAGCATTTCCCAAAGAAGGTTTCAAGGAATATTTGTGTTACAGAATGGTGATAGGTATTATGATGAATAGGGGGCATTTCTCTGGTCCAGTTAGGTTTGGAAATGCTGTGCTAAACAAGCTGTTCTGTTCACAGTTCACAGAGAGACAGTGGATATAGCATGTTGCATTTCTTAATGTATGTTACCAGAGTGCTCTTTCTGGGCACCTAAGCCACACACACACTCCCTTTTTTTTTTCTTCTCGTGTCACTGAAACATGGGTGCTCTTGTCCAGAGGACTTTGTGGGTGTGGCCCTGCACAGACTTGAATCGCAGAAATTGAGATGGGATGGGGGCGGCTGGTAGGCTTGGCTGCTGTCACCTTCATCTGGGTGACCACAGGTGCACATGCCCACGCTCCAGGTGCACTGGGACAAGGCTGCTTGTTCTCTCAGCCCCCGCATGTGTTCCATGGTTCCCTTGTCCCCATCTCCAGGCAGGATTAACACAGTCTATTCCCATCCTCCGGCGGGATCATCACATCCAGAGGGCTATTGGTCTCTCCCCAATGTCCTTCCCCACCGCAGACCTCACCCTGAAGGTAAAACACAGCCTACTGACTCCTTCCTCCCCCACCCCCTCTTATCCTGTATGGTCTACTGCCACTCAACTTGGTATTAATTTCTACCCCTCTCCTCCCCGCATTTCCAAAGATGGAGTCTGCCCGCAAGGCTTGGGAGAACTCCCCCAGTTTGCCGGGACAGAGCTCTCCAGGAGGCACTGGTTCGGGCATCCAGCCTCCGTCCTCTGTGGGAGCCTCCACCGGGGTCAGCTACAGTGCTTTCGGTGGCGTCTCCATGCCACCCATGCCGGTGGCCTCGGTAGCACCTTCTGCCTCCATTCCAGGTATTATCACAGCCCTGAGGCCAGGCCCCTCTGCTCCTCGTGGTAGGCCCTGGCTTTGGCGTAGTTGAGCTGGAGTACACGTTGGGACTTACTTTCATCTGGGTGGGTTTGGCTTCAGACCCTGGTGACAGACTGCAGGAGGAAGATGTGGCATTCCGATTCTATACGAGGTTAGCCTAGAACGGGCTTTGCGTCACCTACACCCTGGATGGATACAGCCTTTTGTACCTTAGCTGCATCCTCACTGTTTGGGTGCTCAGTACAAGGCAGGGGCCCAGCTGCCGGTCTCAGTGATGTAATTCCAATAGACCCTTCTGACCCTCCTCTGTGCACTCAGTCGCAGTGAGATGAAGAGGACTGTGATTGAGAGACTGGCTCCCCTTCTCGGTGTCTAGGGCAGTTGGCTAGTCCGTTTCCCTCTTCCTGGGTTCCCCTGGGTCATAGGGAGCCCTGACACCCCTGGAAGGAATAGACCTGAAGACTGCCCCTCTTAAAGGATGTTCAGAAACAGAGACTTGATAACTTTTCTCCAACCTCCCGGATTGTTTCCAGGCAACCACCTCCCGCCCCTCTATCTGGACGGCCATGTGTTTGCAAGTCAGCCCCGGCTGGTTCCTCAAACGATACCTCAGCAGCAGAGTTACCAACAGGTGACGGCAGCAGGCTGAGTGGCGTGGTGGAGGGAGGGGGCCGACCGCCCAGGCTGAGCTTCTCTCTCTTCCACGTGCTGCTTGGCATTGTCCACCTCGTTTCCGGGGCACCTCCAGCAGCTCACTAAACGAACTCCTGAGCAGCAGCAGGCAGAACGGGGCTAGATGCTCCAGACTCCGCCCCATTTTCCTGCTCCACGTCCTCCTCCCTGTCTCTAGACCATGGCCTCCTAGCCTGGAATTAGCTAAACCGGAATTCTTTTTGGTGATCAGGTATCCTTCTGATGAAGAGAAGAAAAGCCTAGACTCCCAGGCATGGATGCATTAGAAAGAGGTAGTTTTAGAAATGAGCAGGTGTTTCTTTTTGTGCAAGATCAGCATACTGTCTGTGCTGCAAGGGGATTATTGTGGACGTGGCCTTCTGCAAGCCAGGGCTGGGCCTTGCCCTTGAAATGGTCCGGTCGTCCCCATAGACCTGTGGGGCTCTGAGGCAGAACTGCTCCTACAGGTAGACATACCCTTATTTAACAAAAAAATAAAATGGCTAAATACTGTGTTAACTTTGCCAGATGGGCCTTTGAGCGTCCTGTGGCTGGATCAGGCTGCATGTACTCTTCCTTCCGTGTGGACAGTCCTCCTCCTTCAGGAGAACTGTGGATGTGTTTAGCTAGGGTTTGTTCTGGCTGGCTAGCTCCTCCAGTACAGGGGTATCCTGGTTTGGGGGTTGTGCTTCTAAATTTGTGCTGTCGGCTTTGTCCCAAGAGCAAGGGAAGCACAGGGACAACATGATCCAGTCGGCCCTTGTAACAACGGTCCAGCTGCCCTGCCGTGTGGTGAGCGGCCGTGGGCGGTGGGGTGCTGGGGCCACCCAGGGCAGAGGGCATTGCAATTACCCACCTGGTGTTCTTTTACAGGCTGCCGCTGCCCAGCAGATTCCAATTTCCCTTCACACATCCCTGCAGGCACAGGCTCAGCTCGGATTGAGGGGGGGTCTTCCCGTCTCCCAGTCCCAGGAGATCTTCAGCTCCTTACAGCCCTTCAGGTGAGCTCAGGGTGTAGTGGGCATAGGGAACTGGTATCCTCTCATCTCAGAACCCCCACCTTAAAAGCCCAGTGGCCTCTTGGCCTTGTTCTTGCTCCCTGGCTGGGCGGGGCTCATGGCATGGGCCTGTTTGAGAGAGTAGGCCTTGTTTCTTTCCATGTCCTCTGCCCTCCCTCCCACCACATTTGTGGTGTAAAACATGTACAAGTGTTCATTTCAATTCGTAAATAAGCCCAAGTGGACCCCTGCTTCCTTGTGTAATGAGTCCTCTGTCCCTGTCAGGGATTGAGCATTTGAAAAGAGGCTTAGATTCTCAAGGAAGGGTCTGTGGGGCTGGGAATGCCATGCCCAGAAGCAGAATGAATCTCTGATGTCTTGGAAAATGCAATTTTAAAATTGCTCGCTACGGCTTAGTAAGTAAGCACAAGTAAGTCTGTGCTTACCTTGCTTACTGGGTAATTGGACACTAGGTATAACAAAGGTTTTTTTTACTTTGTTCCGTTTGGATCTGTCCATTGGTTTCATGCAATGATTCTCAAGCTGTGGTCTCTGGACCAGCAGCAGGGACAACATCAAGTACCTTATCAGCAGGATGGAGCTGGTCATTTGCGTTTCCTCTGAGAATTCTGCTGCCCACTCAAGTCTGAGACCCACAAGTGTGCTCCTCGACCCGGTCCTGACCATCTCCCTGGCTTCTGCAGGTCTCAGGTGTACATGCACCCCAGCCTGTCGCCACCCAGCACCATGATCCTGTCTGGGGGCACAGCCTTGAAGCCTCCCTACTCGGCGTTCCCAGGCATGCAGCCTTTGGAGATGGTGAAGCCCCAGTCGGGCTCCCCCTACCAGCCCATGAGTGGAAACCAAGCCCTGGTCTATGAAGGTCAGCTCAGCCAGGCTGCAGGGCTTGGAGCCTCCCAGATGTTGGACTCACAGCTCCCACAGGTCAGCAATTCCGTCGCTCCCACGCAAAAGCCCTAAGCCTTTGTCCTTAGGATTCCACTGCCCCCTCCACCCTTTTCTTGGCTCCTTTCCTTGGGCTAACTTAGGCCGCTTGGAACCATGGAGACTGCTTCTTGAGCTGCTAGAACCCGACAGTTCCTTCACCTCGCCTCCACCACTCTCCTGGCTTTCTCTAAGAACCCTACATGTCCTCAGCCCCCTTAAGCAGAGGTCACTGTCCATTCTGCATACTGGTGGACTGGAGATCCCCCTGCTTGGAACGTGCCCTGGCCCTCTGTGCTGCTGTGAGTGAGCTCTGTGTCACTGAATCCAGTGTGTGATCTTTTAGCCGGATCTGCACATTTTCTGGTGTCTGTCCTTATTGGCCCCTGGCCTCTCCTCTTGCTCTGGTCCTTGGCAGTTTCATACCCATGCTGATGGCCTTCCAGGCAGGACCTTGTCCCTATGGCCCCGGGCCCCATGATAATCCAAACAGTCATAGCCCACAGTTGCACCTCTTGTGTAGTTTTCTCAAGTTTAAGGGTCCGACTCAGCTAGCCCTCAGGTTTGCCTGTTCTATCTCTCTCTCTCTTTCTCTCTCTCTCTCTCTCTCTCTCTCTCACTTAACCGTGCTTGGATTCTCTGAGACCTATGAACCGCGTTTTTATCACGCCTCGCCCCTTTCCAGCCTCGCGTCCTTCCTCTGCATCCGCCTGACAAGGTCTTACATCTGTTCAGTCCTGCTCTGCCAGGGTGCTTTCCCAGCTTCCACCCCAGCCCTCCTCTCTGGATCTGTGCGTGCTTCACTGGCAGCTCTCCCACAGCTGAATCAGCCTCTCTGAGCCTCGAGCCCACTCCAGGACTTGGTGCCCATTCCGCTCCTGCCTGACAGCATGCAGTCTTGCTACTATGGCATTCTCTTGACTATATTCTTTGTCAATTCCATCATTCTCCTGAAAGACTTCTTTTTTTTTAAGATGCCAGTAAATTCTGTTAAGGAAGCTGATGCTTTATGCTTAGTACTCATTTTACTGCCCCTTCAGCCAGTACCTGACAAGAAATCACTCCTCCCACTTTGAGTCTCGCTCGTCACCTGTGAGTGGGCATTTCTCCTGGCTTCCCTCCCAAGAACCCCCAGCTCAGGCCTCTCTGCAGTTCTGCCTCAGACGTCTTCTGGGCAGCTCCTCTCTCCCCGTGACTGTCAAGTACCGTCTGCTCCAGTGACTCCCACGGTGAGGTTGTCAGCCCAGGTCTGTCGCCAAAGCGGAATCCTGTGTTTAGATTACTGTTCATTCAGCATCTCTGTTTTGAAGTCCATTCCATATCACACTTGGTGGGTCCAGAACATGATCCCCACCCCATTCCTTCTGGTTGTCCGGTCCATGCATTCTTGGCTCTCTACTTCCCTCAGGGCTTCAGCAAAACACATCCACAATCCAGCCGCTTCTCCTCACCTCTATCCTGTGCAGCCTGCCACAGGAAGCCCCGCCTTTCTTCTTGGTCCTCCACATTCTGATCTCAGCGAGCAGCTAGGGTGTTCCTTTTAAGTCATCAGTCAGGTCAGGCCACTCATCAGCCGGCTCTTCATCCCACACCAGGAGGCGCTGCCGTGAGTCTCGATGATGTAATTCCAATAGATCCTTCTGACCCTCCGTTGTGGACTCAGTAGCGGGAGATGAAGAGGACCATGGCTGAGAGACTGGGGCGGCCCTCTTTTGTGGGGAAGGGAGCCTGAGGGGCTCCCTGCCTCTTCTTACCTGCTGTGCATGTTCTGGACTGTAAAAGTCTCCTGCCACACCTCTTCCCTGCTCCTTTTCTAACTCCACTGGGTGCAGAACAGATTTTAGTTTTGGTTTACGTGCTATTTGCAATGCAAAGACAAACTTACTTGCTATGCAGCTTTGCTCTTTTATGATCCCTGCAACAGTACTTCCTGAGGAACCTTCCTAACTCCTCCTCCTCTCTCCCCATGCATCCCCAACACACACACACACACACACACAGAGTTCCCACTCTTGCGTGTCATTCTCAAACTGCTCCAGCACTGCACCCACGAGCCCTGTGACCGTGTCCTGTCAGGAAGGCCTGCAGGTGGCAGTGGGTGTGCTGGATGCTGGGAAGAGGCGGTTCAGCCCAGCAGTGTTCTCTCAAACTTGACCCCTGCCATAAAGTCAGGATCAGCTCTCCAGTGCTGTAAGGGAGCACAGAACCTTCACTGTTGTGCAAGCGTCTCACTTCTATTTTTTTAAAAGACCCTGAAGCCACTTATCTAAAAGTGAGAAAGTAGTAGCGCTTGCAGGTGTATGTAAGCAGTGGTATGTGGCTTTGTCCCCCACACCCCTTCCTGCTTGTGACTGTCCCTGTCCTCCAGCAGTTGACAATGCCGCTGCCTGGCTCCCAGCTGCCTCTGCCTCGGTACGGGTCTGGTCAGCAGCCACTGATCCTGCCGCAGTCCATCCAGCTGCCCCAGGGGCCGAGCCTGTCCGTGGGAGCCCCACGCAGAGTTCTTCCGCCTGGCTCCCAGCCTTCGGTCCTTAACACCAGCAGAGAGGTAACGAAAACACCATCTTGCTTCGGTCCTACCTTACCAACCATGCTAGCTTGTAAGGGCATGCAGACTCAAAAAGGCCGGGCACCTCTCTGGCAGGCCGAGTCTTAGCAGACCACTGCTTTCCTGCTCTCTGGGGAATCCCCTTGGACTTCACGACAGGCAGGCACTTCAGGGTGTCTGTGTCCTGCAGCAGTGGGAGCAAGGTACACACAGTGGCTGCCCTGGGGGCAAACTGGCCAAGGGCCCTGGGGGCAGAGGGGCCTCCTGTGGAGCCTGTTTCTGGTGCAGATTCTAGAAACTGGTCAGTATGTATTGGGTGATGGGCTGTGAGCTGCATTCGTCCTCAGAGCCCGTCCTGTAAACCTTTACGTGATGGCTCTTTTGGTCAGTCCCCTGTGAGGGGCACACTTAGCTCTCCCCTGTCCATTTAAAAGAGCAAAAACACTTCATTTCTGCTTCTAGGTAGCAAGGCTCTGTCTGGGCCTAGATTGGGTATGGTGGAGGACGGGCACAGGGTGTGCAGGTTCCTTCAATAGAAGATGCCTCTGCTTCCAAATTCCCATGGGCGCTCACTGGCTCTGCTTGCTTCTTGTTCTCTCCTAGTCCTCTCAGATGGAGATGAAGGGTTTCCACTTTGCCGACAGTAAGCAGAATGTTCCTTCAGGAGGCGCAGTACCGTCCCCACAGACCTACAGGTAAAGGAAGGCCTCTGGGCTTGGAGCCTGAGCAGCAAGCTTTGGCTGGAAATCCGATTCAGGACTCCAATAATAAGGCGAGACCCAGCAGGCTTTGAGGCTGACATACCTGAGTCCCCAAGATTTCACCTTCACAAAGGGGGGTAGGGGTGGTTACCCTGGGAAAGTCAGGATTGGGGAGTGTGGGTTTGGTTTTAGTTTGAGTCATGATCATAAAATGCCTGGATTGGGAGTGCTTTGAGGGGGAGCTAGAGGAAAAAAGGAATGACTCATGTCTTAATGGCCATCAGAACCAACCCTGACTGCTCACAGGTTTCTTACCAAATTATGAAAAAAAAGGTTGGGGGAGGTGGGTGCTCACTGAGGCACATGCCTTCCAGGGAGACTCATGATCCTTCCCGGTCTCCCCTGCCCTGCGTGAGGACTTCCTACTGCTGCTCCTAGAGCAGACCCCATGGGACACACTCTGGCTTCTGCTGTGTATGTCTCTGGCCCCCGTGACTCTCCCTGGTTGCCACAGCTTGGGTCAGAAATGCCTTTGTAGAGAGCCTTCACCGTGCTGGGTTTTCGTCAGCAGGAGCATGTTGGGACAGGAAGGCAGTGGGGCTGTAATCCTGGTTCGGGGCCCCAAGGTTTGGAATAGTCTACTCTTTTGTCTGTGGGAGATTCCTGGGAAGCACAGGGCCAGCAGTGCCTTGTGATGAGTTAATGGCAGAGCTTGAGGGTGGGAGTGGGCTGCTCCCTCAGGGCGGGTGGAATGGGCCTTCTTTCCCGTCCACTCTCCTCTGGTTCTGAATGATTCTTGGTGAAGCCAGTCTGTCCTGCTGCTCCTTGACCGTCCAGCCTGAATTCACGTCCATCCCCTCCCTCCATTCCACACTTCCAACTTCCTTTCTGGAGAATAGGATTTTGGTGGCATTTCCCCATCTTTTTTTATGTCCTGTGATTGCTTTCAGTCTCTCGCTTTACAACATTTATTTGTTGTTGTTGTTTTCCAAGCATATGGGCCAAAACAGCCCAGTGGTATGAGAACAGTCTGTCAGGCGGTCCACTCCCTTGAGTGCCATTTGGGAGAAGGGTGGCAGCTCCTTGGGTTTCCCCTGACTGCAGACCCTTCCAGCAAGGCCCGGGTCCCCTGGGTCCCTCTCTGCAGAGGGCCACTTTGGAGAGGGGAGACTTAGAAAAGAAGAGCCTTCGTTGAGTACCCTTTATTTTGTAGGTGGTTTTGGTAGGTTTTGTTTTTTAGGGCAGAGTTGGGAGATTTGGGTTTTGATTTTTATAGAGCAGGCTTCCCCTAAATTTCTAGAAGCAAGAATTTCTGAGATGAGACCTGCCCAACACAAACAACCCTAAAATGGTACCGTTCCCTGATCAGGTTCTTGGAGCACTTTACCCAGAAGGGAGGCCAGTTAGAGTCTAGCAGTTCTGCAGCCACAAGTTGTCTTTCGCTCTGTATACATAGCATTCGTCAAGCATTCGTCAACAATTAAACTATTGTTTTCTCCACATGGCACCTCTGGGAACACAGGGAGATACACTTGGAAGAGTGTGGCAGATCTTTGTTTCCTTTGATCTCCTTCCCACTGCCTCCTGAATGTCAATCAGAAATAGCCCCAAAGAGGGGTTCAGTGTCCCTCTTCCCCATAGTAGAAGGCCCGTTGAGGTGGTCAGGGAGCTCCCCGGCCCCTCCTCCTCTCCCTTCAGTACTTTCCTTAAGCTCTGTCTGTGAGGGGCCCAGGTAGACTGTGTCTCCTTGTCCTCTCGCCTCCCTCTGCATCCTCAGCCCGCTTAGGTCTTTTGGTTTTCCGTCCAAGAGGTCTATAGAGTGGGACCTTTGGCCAAAGGGGCCCATCCATTTCTCCCTCATGCCTTCTCCACGTGCTAGCTTTGACTCCATTCCTGTGGTGACACGTTGTGCATTCTCACCCCTGCCTTTGGTTTTTCAGGCCTAGCTCTGCTAGCCCCAGTGGGAAGCCCTCTGGATCAGCAGTTAACATGGGCTCTGTGCAGGGACACTACGTTCAACAGGTAGAAGATGGCTTTCCAGACCCTCCAGCCTGGGACGCTTAGGCCCCCGTCTCCCAGCGCCAACAGAGAAGGGCTGTCCACGTTAAGAGTTTCTTTTGTGAAGAGAAATGCCTCAGTGGTTAGACCCTGGAACCAGGAGTCGGGCTCCCCGAGTCCCTCCTGGCGAAGGCATTTCTTCTCGTGATGGGCGTCTGGATCCTTCCTTGTCCCGCAGAGAAGGGAGGATGCTGATTCCTCTGAGGAGGTGACGCCAGAAAGCATACCGTCCACAGCAGAGTTGGGCTGGAAAGGCGCTCTGGGAGACTTGTTAGGTCTGTGGGTTAGTTGTAGAAGCCGGGTGGTGGATGGATGTGTGTGTGCGTGTGCGCGTGTGTGTGCACGCGCTAGCTCTAGTAAGAGGCATGTCTCGTCCTTGTCTCGGGTGGGTGGGATTAAGTGTCTTACAATAGAATTTCTCACCGTCTCTTTCTTCGGGCACTATTCTCTCTGCTGCTATTCCCTAGACAGAAACTGGGGTCCCAGGGTTCAGCTGCCCCAGGCACAGGTGTTTAATAAATGGCATTACTGGTTGGTGGAGGAAGAAGGTTGGCTGGTCTCATTTCACCCCTCCATACTGAGTTCCCCTGGAGGCTACTGCTTGCAATTCCTGGAATGAGCTGCTGAAGCTTTCCCCAGAGTGCTAACCCTCATGTGAAGGGCAGACCCAGGGCTGGTTCCTTACACAGGCACCACTCACTGTGCAGGACCTCTGAGTGGGGAGCTAAGAGTCAAACATGGGCCCTACAAAGTGAGGGGTCTCTGTGGTGCCTCTGCCCCAGTCCCAGTCCCCTCAGCCAATTTTTAGGGGGTTCTAAGACTTTAGAATACGGATCATCTACTGCAGTGTTTTCCTGCCTCTGGGATGTGGGTCGGGTGCACTGATTGGCTAAGGGTTTTTCCATTGGCCCCGGAACCAGGAACACTTTAGTCCTGGAAATCTGCCACTCTGTAGAGGGTAGAAGACATCACTTCCAAGACACACACACACACACACACACACACACACACACACACACACACCAGTGCACATCAATGCACTGGGAGGGTGTAGAACCGTCACAATCCAGCTTCACTCACGAGCCCCTCCATGGCTAAGTCCAGTCCTCCGGCCAAAGGAATGGGGGATGGGGGAGTGGGTTGGGGTTCCTTTTCAGAGCAGGCAGGTGAGAGCTGTGTGTCCCGTCCGGTGTTTCTCTGTTGGGTTAACCCCTCCCCCCATCTGTTCAAAGGCCAAACAACGAGTGGATGAAAAGCCCAGCCTGGGATCTGTGAAGCTGCAAGAAGGCCCCTCGGCCGCCTCCCAGATGAAGCGCACTGGCGCCATCAAGCCTCGGGCAGTGAAGGTGGAGGAGAGCAAGGCTTGACAGCGCTCAGCCTCCACACCTC